TGTTGGATAACAAACATGCAAAAAAAACATTATGGCATTAGAAAAACATCGCTTTAAAAACCTTAAGATTTAATAACAAAATTAATACTTTGCGTATCAAAGCATTGTAATGTTTACTGATGATCTGCCAAATATCATTAACATACGCTTACTAATTTAAAAAATTATAGCTTAAAAACTATAACAAGCACAAAATGGTTATGAGGTTAGTCCCAGAGATCAAGCCCATGCTGAAAGAGTTAAGACTTATTTTCTTCTCCTATTAGCTTGTGAAAATCATTGGTTGGATTAATTTTCCATCAATGTTTCACATACTCTTTATCATTCCACATATATTCTCCTTTATCTGGATCAATCTATCCTTCCCAAAACTTCAGCGGCTCGAAGGGTAATTCCTCCTTCTCACCAATTTCCTTTCCTTCTATTTTCTACCTTTATCCTCAGTCAGATTCGGATAGGCTACTATGTCCTGTCAGTGCTCTTTGTTGTTATGTTACATGATGCTTGTTCCCACCTATTCATTCTTTGGCAGACATCCTCAGTTCGTGACCTTTCTCCTTTCATCCTGACCTATTGGGTTTGTTTTTAATTTGATTGGTTTATTCTTCCTTATCATCATCTTCCTGTAATTTGTTCCAGGTGTCTTCTCATCATATATGGCACCTTACCTTTTCCCTGACATCTCATCTCCATTGTCCCTTCCAGGAAATTCTTAAATCGGGCATGTGGACTACCTCACATACATTGATATCTCACTATCTATGCAATTACTATGTCTTCATCTTCGGGTTTTTTGTCTTCCATCTGTTGCCATTCTTCAGTCTTTGGTGAGATTATGTCTTAGTAAGTTATCTTATATATATACTTTTTTCAGGGACTTTTCCCTATTCTTTTTTTTTTTTTATTGTCTGGATCTTGCTTTGTGGTGAGTGGTACCTGACCAGGTATGCTTCTCATAGTCATATCCACACTGTCAGGCCATGTTGACTGTTTATTTCTAATTTCCATGGCAATAACATGCTCACTGTTAAGATGGGATGTTCCACAACATTGCTTGCAGGTTTGTCTTTGCAATATAGTTGCTTCATTAATATGCCTATTCCAGAGTGTACATACTCATGGACTTCCTGGGTAAAGCACAAGGGGATAGCTGCCCATCTGTGCCATGCCTTCAATTGAATAAATCAGGTATTGTCTGCTTTTCAAAATAAGATTTTTGTGGTCACCCATTGCACACTCTGATGTTGTCCTTCCTCCAGACTCCAACACATTTTCTCCCCCATTTTTCTTGCAGTGGAGAATGGGAGACCTTATCATTTTCCAATTCCAAGCTGCTTTGGTGGTGGATCATAGAGGCATCCTTCTGAATGTCATAATGATGGACAATACATATAATGATAAAACCATTCAGTTGAGAGAAGACAGTGGTGTTCTGCTGGTGAGGATGACAAGATTCTTAATCTCTATGCAAGTTTATCTGAGGTGGTTGTGGTAGATTTGGAGTGAGCTGTCAAAATTACAGTTCATTCCTTCAATTGGAATCCCTCATCCTACCCCCCAAATGGATATTGGTTCCCAGTGGCTGGGTTTTGGATTCAGAGCTGAACTAATCAACACAAGTCCTCACACATGTATTATAGGTGTCTTTGTTTTCTCACTCAATTATACTCTTGTTCCTCCATCTGTGTTGTGAGTCACAGTGATGGTACTTGCTGATTGAGTGAGATAGTTTACATTGCAGAGAAATCTTTACCAATTATCCAGATGTCAGATTCACAGATAAGTCCAACAATTTATCGCATTGCTATCATGTGTCCCGTTCATATGAAATTCCCTCCGGTCTGATGAACTTGAAGTGAAGATGGAATGATCCTCTTTCCTACCCCTACCAGATGCCTGGGTTTTGGATTTCAGTTGACTTGCTATTGGTATGATCCTCTTTCCTACCTCCACGTGGATGTCTGTTCCCAGTGGCTGAGTTTTGGATTGTAATTGACTTGCTGGTGGTATGATAATTTTTTCTACCATCACATGGATGTCTGATCCTGGGGACTGAGTTTTGGATTTTAATTGACTTACTGTCGGTATGATTCTATTTCCTACCCCCACATGGATGGTTCCTGGTGGCTGGGTTTTGGGTTGTAGTTGACTTGCCGTGTGTGGTCCGTCATGCTTTAGCCACTCTATACCTAGGGGCACATCCTTTTAATTTCACACACATTCCAATACTCTTTTGGATTAAGATTTGTTATCTGGTGGTTCAGATCATTATCCCACCATTGTTCTCTTCTGTAGGGATGTGCTCCTTCCTTTTTTCCACCCATGTCTGCAACACGTCATTCCACGCTGGGTGAAGAGTATATCTGGTACAGATGTGGTGTGGTCTCCCACATATAATCCTCTACTGTGTGGATCTGTTCTTTTAGGGTGTTCTTCAGATGCTTTCGAGGAATGCTGCTTTGTTTTTCCCTCCCACTGGTCCCTCTAACCTATTAAATGTGGGATTCTAGCTATTTATTTGAGCAGAGGTAATGTACCGTATCGGAACGGATAATTTTTCCTATACTGAAAATATATATTCGATAGGTACTTCTTCTCACACTTCACACCCTTCCTTCCCACTGAAAACTGGTGCTTTCATTTTCTGCCAAAACTCGAAGTGATAGTTCGGTAGAATTGAATGGAAGGAGTCACGTGTGCCAGGAGAGTGTGTTGCACTCTTATTAGTGTAGGGTTTTCGCATGATGATTTACATGCAAAACACATCTGAACCAGTTGATTGTAAGGTACATTGGAGCTCAAGACATGTGGCATGTGAAAAACTTTTTGTATATAGATGGCAGCACTGAATGAGAATAGCTATTTATGTGGGAGGAGGTAAGTACCTATTGGAAATATATTTTTAGTATAGGAAAATTATAACTTTAGTTTTATTAACTTCCAGGGTGGATTCGGGAACATATAGGCACAAGTGATCATTGCTCAATTAGATTTATGTTTTTACTGCATATGGAAATAAGGAATAATAATATTTTGGTTACAAATTTCTAAGATGCGAATTTTGAAGGAATGCAACAAGAATTATCTGTTGTAAATTAGGCAAGTGAACAAAACAAGGGGTGGCTGGAACTTTAAAATCAGGTTGGCTCATAAAGAATATAAAGGATGAAATTAAAGAAAAACATTATAAATTTAATAAGTTTAAATAGAAAATTAAAAGAGTTGTTCAAATAAGATATCAGGAAATCCTTTCTTACTAATATTGACATTTTTTGAAGAGGTTACACATTCAATATGAATATGAAGAGGATACAATATATTATATAGGTCTCTGGCTAGGATTCTAAATAATTAGAGTATTTTGTTTAGTCTTGGACTCCTTACCTTAAAAAGGACAGTGAATGGTAAATAGTTGGAGATAGTTCAAAGGAAGGCTATTAGGATGATACCTGAGATGGAAAGGTTGTCATATGAGGACAGGTTAAGATCTCTGAAACTTTTCTTTTAAAAATGGAAGAGTTAATGTGGGATATGATTAAGTTGTTTAAGAGTGTTAAGAGAATTGATAGTGTTGATGCATTAATTTTTTTTTTCCTTTTTTAATACTTAATGATGAGAATGGTAGGATAAGGACCACAAACATAAATTTTGGGAATGTAAGAAACTCTTCACCTAAAATGTTTATTCTAACAGGATAATTTATCTTTAACAGTTAAAAGATTTGCAAAAGTTACTCTTACATGAGCAAATATGGCTTTAAATAAAAAACATAACATCAGTATAGCCAGGTTTACATACATCCACATATCGCCCATGATCTTCGTCCACTGTGATTCGTGTGCAAGAGCATAGCAACCCTTGGTCATGATCTGATTCACCAACAGAAAAAACAACCATCTATCTGAAAACATTCTGAACTATCTTTTCTCTAAGAAAACATGGCTAATTGCTAATAAGTGAATCCAGTCTCATATGCATCAGAAGAAAAGTTGAGTTCTAGGAAACTATGTGGTGAAAGCACCTCCCAATAGCATAAACCAAACATGGCTACCATTGTCTACTCTTCAGCCTAGATTAATCATACCTTCACTTCTAAATAACACTTTAGTGTGATATAAAATTTATAAGTATATTTTTTAAACATGAGGAAATGATTTCAGCATATTTTGTTATCAGTGGTTTGTGGCTTCATTTACATAAATCCAATAGGGCAGCTTATTCATACTATTTCTCATCAAAAAGCTTAATGAACAAATTTCAAAACATATTATCATGTGATTCACAATACATTAAAAATATAAACAACTCCCAAATACGTAGTCAACTATGAGCACACATTTATTTGCCACTAGTAGCAAAGTTCCATCTTTCAGAGAAATATAACTAACTCGGTTACTGACCATATATTTCATATCTAGTTGATATTGTCCACTTATTATAAACATCTTAAACCCACTAAACACTCAAGCATTAGATGCCCGAAGTATACATGTCAGTTTTCATACCTGCCTCCATCCAGAAGGGCTAGAACAGCTAAGACTTCTACACTCATTAAACAGGGAAGTAGCCCATATGTTTGTGTAGTGGTCTGTTTTGCACTTGTACCTCAAAACTTCCTGATGGATTATCTGTACAAGTTAAACCTGGTATTGTGTAGCTGCTATTGTGGTAGCTGGAGTACTAGCTTTAACAAATGTTGTACTTGTTTATACTTTGTCACAGAACTTCTTCCAGGCTTCAGTTGTACAGGCCTTTACTCTTGCTGATATATAATTCTGTTGAGCTCATGCAGACTGGGAGAACACGTTGTTGACTCAAGTGTCCACACAAGTTTTCATGCACATTATTCAACAGCATGAACATTAATACATTTCTATACTTATACACTATATATGGTGGTCTTCACAAACTTTTATATTACTCAAAGTCATGTGTTATATACTAAAATATATTGTTTTACAAGTTCTATCCTGAAATACATTTATTTGATATTTTATTAGTTTGAGGCAGATTTCAGGAGATTTTCTTTGAACTCAAGACAGCTGACCAAGTATGAGGATTTCTGCAGATTAATAGAAGAGTTTCACAAGCTGACTAATTTACCATTCACCATCTGCTACACAGATCCTGTGCATGGTGATCTTTTACCTATCAACAATGATGATAATTTTGTTCGAGCTGTCACCAGTGCAAGGCCTCTTCTGCGAGTTATCATTCAGCGAAAAGGTAGATTATCATTTGCGTTAATAATACATTCATCATGATAACTTAAATTTTTAGGCTAATTACAATATATATTAATTCGTACTTTATATATGCAGATTCTGTCTACAGTTTATTATTAACGTGACTGTAATTATAATTGTGGCTAGGGTCAACAGAGTACTGGTATTGGATCAACGTTGGAGTGCTGTGGATATTATGCCTAGTATTGGTGTTTAGGTATAGTGCTGCACAAACCCTGGCAATGCTATGCTATTTTAATCTTGATTAAATTTTCCACTGTGGATTGTGGTCAGTAGTCACCTTATTTTTATCTTGTGGATAACCTCAAATCTATCCAGTTGACTGTTTTATCTACCTCAACACCTGTTTCTTACTTTTTCACCCTTCAATTATTGTCTGATGACAGTTTGGTTAAAATATCACCCATTTTATCCAAAAAAGGATAGGAGAGAGGCATGCTGGCTCCCCTTGATCAGTAAAAACATCAATCATGAAATTCGATGACGAGGAACCCACTTTGAGA